CTCAAATTTGTAACTGCACGTTTATTAATATGACAAAGTCTAGAATGCCAAATAGAAAAATCACACAGCATGTAAATGGAATCAGAAATTTTATTAATAGAAACTTCGACATTTAACTTAAACATGCCATCAGTGGCGTACCCCTTCCCTACAAATACCTCATTCTTAGTAAGAGTGTACAAGTCTGCTCCTATGGTCTGGGTAAAACCAGCCTTATTAAGAAGAAAATGATACTAGATTCTTCCTCATCTCTGGAGTATGCATCACATCTTTGAGTATCAGAGTCCTCCCAGATGTAAACTTCAGCTCCACATCACTAGTTCCAGCAACAGTAGTGGTGTGAGAGTCTCCCAGCAGCACTTTCTTGTTATCAGCATTCGTGTATGTTTTGAACATAGCACGATCATAGCAGACATGTCGGGATGCACCAGTATCTACCCACCACCCATCACTTCCTCCAATCATTGTGACCTCAGTTAACACGGCCACAAGTGGATCCTCAACCATGTTAGCTTGTGGAGGATGATCCACTGGTTGGTTCCTGCACTTTCGTGCCATAGGACCTGGCTTCCCACACTTGAAGCAGATAAATAAGTTGCCAAAGTCATTCTTAGTGGGTGGTTTAGCATATTGGACCTTTTTAGGGTTCCAATTCTTGTTGCGGCCGGTGATCTTAGCCTTATTCCCATTGCGGTTCTGATTCTTAAAGTTGTTGCCCGAAGGCTTCAGAACCGCACCTGAGAATTTCTTTTTAGTGCTATTGCTTGATAAAGCCAACACTTCTTCATTCTGATCTTGCTCACGAACCTCTTCCTCAATGCGAAGACGAGTGATAAGAGATTCCAAAGAAAATTCTTTGGTCTTATGTCTTAGGACGTTTTTAAAGTCCTTTCAGCTAGGTGGCAGTTTGTCAAAAATGACAGCTACCTGAAATTGCTCATCTAAGGGCATACCCTCAATGATGATCTCATGAGCAATTTTCTGAATCTCGTGGGACTGAGATTCTACTGATTTATCATCAGTCATATGATACTTGAGGTAGCGGCTAACAGCATATTTCTTAGTCCCAGCTTCCTCAGTATCATATTTCTTTTTGAGTGTTTGCCAAACTAATTTGGCAGATTTATATGAGATGTAATAATCATATAGACAACCCACCAAGAATGAAATGCTTACATAAGTAGTCATTTTCATTCCACAGAGCGATATCAATAGTTAGTTTTTCATTTTCCTCTTTCTGAGCTTCTTCAGGGACCATTGGGACATCATCCTTCAAAACATAGACAACTTTTTTAACCGTTAGGAAAAATTCTATCTTGGTTTGCCAGCGTTTGAAGTTAGTCCCGTCAAACCTAAATGGTTTGCTTAGATCGAAGCTGTTCGGACCAGTAATATTATCTACGAGTGTCATTGCAGTAGAAACGTCTTAAAATTGTTGTATCGGTATCTTGCAACAATGACACGAGATAATCTTTACTGGTTGAGTCACGACCAGGTCGTTCTCTTTAAGACGTTTTGTGGTACTGCCTCAAGGTGCAAGCAGACTATCAACCACGCCGTCCCCGGGATAAAACAGCCCAGCTCTCTATTATACGATTTCTTACTGCACTGTAAGAATCGTTCTCGAATACACCCAAAAATATGGCTTCCAGTGCCAATTCCAAATACCCACAATATTGGCTTCCCATGCCAATTCTATTCCAACAACTGACTACCAGTGTCAGTCTTCCGAATTTCCCATAATATTGGATTCATGTTCCAACTCTAGTGTCACGGAAATAAATCGAGAAAAAGGACGCCGAAATTGCGTCGGCAGAATTTATGGAGGGAGAAAGAAGCTTGTATAAGCGTACAAGCTTCAGGTGCAAAAAATAATGAATGGGGAGACCTAGAATAAGATTTTGTCACTACTCTTGCATCCTCCAATGTGAGACTTCTGAGATTTTTTTCAAAATCTTTCAATATGGGACTTGTGAGTTTTTTAATTTCACATCCTAAGGTCCACACTAATGGCATCAAACTACACAAGTTCCAACAAAAATTCATTCGTCACTATATCTTATAGGCTTCATCTTAGTGAAAGGAGTGAAAGTATTGCTACCATTGTATATGAAGTATCAAACATATTTTGTATATTCAATATATACATTATTATTTTCAATTCTCATTGAAATATTATGACAAACATATTGTGGACTGCAAATTTAAAATAGTGGAAAACTTAACCAAAAGCATCAAACAACCAAGAAACAAAGCATAGAAATTGGAATTGGAAAACCCAATAAATACGTTAGATTGATAAATTTAAAAACTCAAAGAAGAGCAATTGGAACATAAGCTTTTAGATAATACGCTACTAGAAACAGAAACTTAAAAACTCTATTTTCCTAAATTTTGCTTCTCTTGGCTATTGCTATAAACTTATAAACTTATAATTATGCAACCAATTAGGAGCCTAATGAAGAAAATACTAAAAGTGTGAGAAGAGAGGAACATGAATTGAGGTATCTTTAGTTGGTTGTGTACTTGGACTTGAAAGAACAACTAATGTGAAATTCATTTGGACTTGAAGACACATGACTGGAAACAACAATGTGTTTGTCAATGAAGTATAGAGAATGAATTTTAAAATGAGCCTCTAATCTTAGCTCTTGGTTTTAATTCGATGGCTGAGAGTTATTCATCTCACTCTCATATAATTTTGTTATTCTCACTAAATACATCACTTATATATATAGGTATAACTCAAGTAAGAACAGTTCTCATATAAAAACTGTGAGAACAATAAATCTGAACCTTATAACTAATCATGGATAATTAGGATTAAAAATTAGTTATTGGTCACATGATATTCATGTACATATATCTTTTAATCTTGACCGTTCAAATAAGATCCAATGATTCATATTATATGTTCTCATTTATCATAATAGCGCATTGTTCTCATGTGAGTAATTACCTATATAAATTAAGAAAGAGCATACAATAAAAAGACAATCATTCATCAAATACTATTACCAAATCTTTGACTCCCAAAGCCTCGAAGTCCACACCACCCTCACCTTCTACAATCTAAAGGACCATACGTGGAGTTTTTTATTTATTTTAAACTTGTTATCATCCACTACATTATGCTAATTGGTCACTGTATTGTAAATTACTCCATTCATCACCTTGTCCTCTGGTTCCTTCTTCATCTCCCATTTCTTGAGGGGAGGGGATATGTTTACTTCAAGAGTAAGTTTGAAAAACTTACTCCACATCTTAGCCATCAATTCTTGAGTGCATATTTCCTTCCGTTTAATTTCTCTGTTCTCATCTGTAATAAGAAACTAACATACAATCCTACTTTTTAACATTGAAAGATAGTTGTTATTGTGCATCACATCCGAGAGGCAAAGATAGTTGGCTTGAGAAGAAACAAGCTTAGTTGAAATTTAATATCACTTCCATTTATATTTGTGTTCCTCTCCTTGAGTTTACATTATATGGTGGTGCAATAGCAGCAATTGACAGATTCATCTTTCTTGATTTCTTATTCCTTGATTGTTTCTTCTCAAGCCATTCGTTCAATTTGATAAAAGAACCTCATTTTTTCATTGTAGGGTTTTTAACCAAGCTTGTTTGATCAGTCTCCGATTTGTAAAAATATTCAAGTTGTAAAGTCTATTGTTTAGTATAATATTGAGGTGCAAGAATGGACACAATCACATTCAAGTGATTTAGCTGGAAGGGTTTGGAAGGAACATTCTCACATGAGTTATCTTTCATGTTTGCAAACATATCTTCTATCTCTCTCATGTGCATGATCATCTTTGAAAGAAAAGAAAGAACTTACTTTGTTTGATTAGTTTATGGAACAAGGGCTCTACATAAGCTAAGTGCCCTTAGTTCCATAAACCCATCAATAAAATGAGTAATTTCTTTTCCTCACTACATGCATGAGAGACATAAAAAATATGTTGGCAAAAATGAAAGACGGTTCATGCGAGAGTGTTTCTTTTATACCCATAAAGCTAAATCACTTGAATGAGATTGTGGTCATTCTTACACCTTAATATTACATTAAAATAACAATTGTCATAACTCAAGATATTTTTACAAACCAAAGACAAGTCAAACTACCTTGGTTAGCAAAAAAAAAAAAGAGTTGTTGCTATGAAATTGAAGAAACAAGAAACAACAAGTCTAAAAAGATGACTCTGCCAATTAATGTTATTGCATCCCTGACAAAGTTTCCTAGTAAATTCATGGTGCGGATCACATAGTTAAATGGAAGCAATATTGCTTGTCCTATATGTTGTAAAATAACAATTAACTTTCAATACTAAAAAGTAAGATTTCATGTGAGTTCCTTACTTAATTTTTTTCTTATATATCTTTTATTTCCTAAAATATTAATTTATAATATTAAATTTATTTAAGGATTCTTTTTGGTATAATATTATTATATTTTACACTTACCCTCACACCATACTCTTAGTTTCTACAGTTAAGAAATAAATTTTAAATGTAATTTTCACAGCCAACTATAAATTTTAACCCCAAATCATGTGCCATGACTACCCAAAAGACACCACTAAATACTGATCTCTTCAACTAAGGAAGCTAAGAAAATATATTCATGGGTTCCATCTAGTAGGAACTTTATAACTTTAGTTTAAAAAAGGAGAAAAATAAGAATTGAATTATGTAAACACTTGGGTTGAAACATGATTGACTTAGCTGAAAAAAATCAGTACTACCTAGTGATATATAATCAGTCCAAATAATTTATATGAATTAAGAACTACTTAACCAATATAAATAGTTTAAGCTTAGCAAGTTATAATGTAATAAAGGATATGCCTAAAAATATGAAAGCATCCAATTATCACTCCAAGCTAATGAAACATACTTACAACTAATAAGTGAAAGGTATAAAGTAGATACTAAATTCAAACTGAGTTCTTGAATATAACATAATCTATATGACTTTGAAGTATTAGATCAATACTTACCTCCGACTATAGCATGATAATGAGATCATATCACAAATAAAGTGCACTCTAAAGTCAGTATACATCACCATCTGCACTGTAGTATTGCACGAGTAACACTGTCAATATAAAGATTTATAAACAGTCATCCAGAATTCACTTATATTACTTTCATTCAAGAGTCAATGAACATTAAATATGAACGGTGAATGATATAGTGACGGTGTAAAAAACTGTTACAATGTTAGTGCACACATCTTTTTCTCTTATTTAAGAAGCCAATCCAACATATACCTTTTCAAGTTGATTAATCAACTCCACTACCACTTAATATATCTCATGATCAACACTTCCGGTAAGAAACATGCAGTATATGTAAGAAAAGGCAATATATGAACTTAGCTGGCAAACTATCAAAATAGAATCAATTTATGATTTATGGTTTTGAATCAAAATAGAAGGAGTAAAGATCATCTCCATTAATGGAGAGAGACAGTACTACAAAAAACAAAGGAAACAATAACATGTTAAGACATTTTTATCATTTTATATATAAAATAATAACATTTTTGTCATTAAAAATACGAGTAAAGTCAAGTACTTGCCCGAAAGTGGAACTCTCATTATCAGAAGTCATTATAGAAAATGGAAAAAGCAAAAAATCACTACCAGAAATGACACAGATAAGGAACAAAGAAAGTTGGGGTGAGGAATAAGCTTATGATTTGCCTATCAGGGTTTACTCATTTTCCACCCTTTTCACAAGTTTTCCATTACAGAAAATTAACTTTCATTTTTCCCATAGCCAAACAAACAATACATTAAAGTAATCATAAAAATGAAATCATATTCACTTCTCTAATTAATCTTCAGTAATCTTTCAAACTTGCGAAATTCACCGATTAGCATTCCCCTAAACCGTAAAACAGAGTATAGCGTGCATGACTTACATGTAAATTAAATTCTTGACCTAATTGAGTATGAGTTACTATTTTTACTTTTCAATGAACAAATTTGATACAAGAACCCACAAGAGTTGCCATTGAAATTCCAAAAACAAATAAAATGAAATTTGGAAGCACGAAACTCGTAGATAAATCGAAAGATGAGAAGTGATTGTGGTTTAGATCGGAAATGCAGATATTTCTTGAACAACAGAGAACAAAGAAAACAAGAACACACTTTTTCACACTCAAAAAATAAACCCTACCTTTCCCTCATACCAAACATAAGTTCTTCATTCTTCAACCATAGATGTAAAATTATATAATAGATGATATATTGAGTGACCTTGAAATTTGTATTGATAATGTTTTAATTAATTAATTTTAATAAAAATATATTTTTTATACTATAAATATTTAATTTAAAATAAAATTGAATATTTGTATGTTAACGTTTGTATCTCTTTTAAGTATAAATATTTAAGTCATTTTCTGTCATTATATATTTTATTTTGCCTTATTTTCTTTCAAACCACGCAACTAAAAAATTATTACATTTTTCTTTATTTTTGTTTCCTCCAATTTTCATTCCTCAAGTTTTATTTATCCTCATTTTCACTCTGAAACACAATATAGTGTAAGACTCAAATCTTAGGGTGACAAATGGATTATAATTCATCCAATTCATTCATGCCTCCATTTTCATGGATTTGGATGTATGAATATTCAATCCAATTCATAACTTCATATTTTTACAATATGTTTTCTTTTATAAAAATATATATTTAAAAAGTGTTTTTTTTAAAACACGTTTAAAAATGTGAACTTTTGAAGTTTTTATTCGAAACTTAAAAGAATAATAAATTAAAAAAATTAACTTTAAAGCTTTTAATGGTAAATCATATGGTTAAAATAGTTAAAACCTTCAAGTTAGTGTTGTTAGAAAAATTTGACGTATATCATAAAATCCATATATTTTTTTTTATTTCTCTCACTCTTCATGTTTTTTTGTTAGTTACAACCATAAATTATATTTATCAAAGTTAAATTACATGATTGATAGATAGTTGAAATATCCAATTGAATGAAGTATAAGAGAAATAGAATTAGAAAAAAATATTAAAAACTCAATGCAATTTTATGTGAAGGCTAAGTAAAAAAAGATTTTATACCCAAAGCAAGATGACCAATAAACTTCTAGCAAGCACAAATCCACAAAATTAAAGCATATTCTCATTACTATTTGAGACTAAAATAACATAAATTTACAATGTTGAATTAACATAAGTTTTAAGCTTAAAAATAACTAGTAACACAATTATTGTGATGAGGAGCTTCATGTACAATAATCAGCAAATAATTTATCATTCCAACACGATTATCCACAATACAATACAACAAAGAATATTTTAATATATATAAGGAATCAAAAGATACATCAATCAATCTCGAAGGAACATCAAAATTAAAATAAACCATTGGAAGAAACGACACCTTCAATGGAGATGAGAATGTATGAAGATATTGGAAAAAAACCTCCACAGATGAAGAAAACAAACTTTTGTTGGAAAGGGTAATGCAACTTTTGAATAAATTATTTTGTTAAAAAAGAGTTTGCACATATGTTTTGAGAAAAAAAAAATGTTTTTACTTTTTATTTTTTTGGATGAACTGGGTATCCATCCAAATGGATATATCCATGGATATCCATTGGATATAATGGATGAATTTGAATCCATCCATTATCAACACTATCCATTCGATTATATCCATTTAAATCCATTAGCTCAAGGATTGATTTAGATGGATTTAACTTATGAATTTTAGATCAACCGTGTATTGTGGATAATTTTACCTCCCTTATCTGTAGCCTACATCTTTACCAAAAAAACAATGAAAATATTGATTCTTATTATATTTAAATTTGTCTTTATAATATATTATATTTTTCTTAATTTAATTACACTCATAATTTTTTATTTAAAATATTATATTCCACTTCATGGATACTTAAATATTCTTTACAATTTATACTTTACAAAAATAAATAAATTATATAATTTTATTAAAATTTATGAGAAATCGGATAATAATTTACATTTTTTTTATGTGAAGTATGAAGCCAATTTAAATGTGTCCCCCTCCAAAATCCAAAATGAAATGAACAAAACGATTAATCATAATCTACATTGAGATTAAAACATAATCCACAAAACTTGATACACTAAATCCACACTCTCTCTCTGAGAATGGATTCAATAGGAATAGCTCAAAATGAAACTCATGAGTTATACCAAAACGTCGTCGTAATGAGGCATGCTGAACGTATCGACAAATTCGATCCTCTTTGGGTTACCAAAGCAACCAAACCCTGGGACCCACCGCTTATCGAACACGGTCGATCAACGGCCTTCGCCGCCGGTCGAAACTTCCGTCACAATCTCGATTTCCGGTTCCACCGTGTTTTCGTTTCACCCTTCCTCCGCTGCATCCAAACTGCCGTCGAAGTCATCACCGCCCTCTCCGCCGCCGTGGACGATCCTACCGCCGTCACTAGTGATGGCATTCCCATTGATCCTTCAAAACTCAAGGTTTAGAACAATTATTTCAGAGTATTATATTTTAATTGAAACGTGAATGTAGATTTATATGTTTTTCTGAAATGTGTGAAATCTTGTTGTGCGTATTTGATAGTGTATTACAGAAACTAGTTTTCATATAATCGCTGAGATAGATGCAATGGTAATTAATGTATATTGTTTGGTTTATTCAAGTGTGAATTCGCACATTAGGTTTATCACTCATGGAACTAATGCCTTAAGGTTTTGTTTCAAAACATGTTGTCTCACTTGTAGCTCTCTATTCTTGCCATACCCCGGTAACAATGAAACTACCCAGTGGTTGGAGGCTCCTATCGCAGTCTGGTCCAACATATATCTTGTTTTCTTTGAAAATCGACATTGTCTTTCATGTCACTGATGTAATCCAGTTAATTTAAGTGTGTAGTCTTAACTGTTGCAAGCACGATATCTGTTGGAACTTGGCCAAATTAATGCTTCTTTGGTGTCATTTAGAATTGCTGCAAGCCGCAATAGAAACCTCTAAAACTCCTTGACGCTTCGGTCAATTAATTACGTCTAAATGCAGTACAATTGTGGTTGCGGTCACGATATTGTTTTAGTGACACTTAAAACCTTAACATATTTGAGTATGTAATAGTCAAGAATTCAGATTTAAAACCTTGGTGGTAGTGACTTTTAATCTCAAATATATATCTCACCTATCCAAAAGTGATATTGCTTGGTTTGCTCACGACCTACCACAACCAGAAAGGCAGAAACCTCCTTAGGGATCATTAATTCGCCACTCTACTAAGACTCATTGCTGGGATCTTCCTCATGTGAGTGACCTTCAGGGCTTACTAGGCGAAAATGATGTGTCATTTTTGGAATTCGAGTGAAGGATGTTTGTTGATTTATGTTTAGAATTTTTGTTTGTCATGGTGGAAAAATTATCTCACCATTAACCTTATATATATACAGGGCTTTTGTGATGATTTTTATATTGTACTCGTTCTGCAGAGATAATAGGCTTTATTGGGTTTTCCGCGTAAGTTCTGCATGCCATCTATTCCAATTTATGCCTGTCATTATATTTCCAGTCAAATTTCTATTGCTTTCGTGCTTTTGATGGTGGTTCATTAGTGTATACCAAGGACAAGCATTAACTCTTCTTCAATGATACTCTAATCCATTCTCTCAAGAACTGCTATAATTTTGTTCTCATAGCAATTAAGTTAGTTTACTGGATACATAGATGTAGAAATTTGTGTTTCTAAGAAGAATTTAATACTACGAAAACTGCATGTATGCATGAATGGTAACGAAAGAGGTTCACTTTTCATTTGTAGAGTTTTATCAGTGAAAGTCTACAGTGGTATTTCATTTCTCCTTTATGAACTTATAACTCACATACATAAATATATCATCCATTAAGTTGCTGAAATTCTTTCCACCACTTACAATTGCAGGTCTCGGTTGAATATGGATTATGTGAAATGATGAACAGGCAGGCAATCAAACTAGAGGTGGTTCCGAAAGATGGAAATTGGGGTTTTGATATATCAGCCTGTGAGGCCATGCTTCCATCTGGGACAGTGGATAATAATGTAGAAAGGGTCTATAAAGAGGTATAATGAACTTCATCTGCATTTTCAATTGGCAACTTTTGGCACATGGGATTATATATAAAATTATGCAAACAAACATTGGTGCTGATGAAAACTTTATTGCTTGGGAAACATTAGTTACCCCAATGGGAACAGCCAGTTTTGCACGCATGGGCTAGATATGAGCAAATAGTTAAAGACCTTGCAGATAAATATCCTACTGAGAACTTGTTGCTTGTCACTCATGGTAATATTCAATTTCTTTTCTTCCATATATATGTAAGGCTTTTCTGTTTTACTATGAATCACCCACACCTTTCTCTATATAGGTTCCCAATTTAAAATTAACGTTTATCGATTTTGTTGGGTTTATTCAAGTGTGAAGTCCCACATTGGATATGCGGGATGAGTAAAAGAGTTTATAAGTAGAAAAGACCCATGAAACTAATGCCTTAAAGTTTTGGTTCAAGACGTGGTGTCTCATTTGTGGCTCTCCAATCTTCTCATACCCCGGTAACAATGGAACTCCCCGGTAGTTGGAGGCTCCCCGGTCATAGTATGGTCCAACAGATTCCAACACTCAGTCGATACATTTCTGACAATTAGCTGACACCTTAAGTTGACTTGTACGTCTCTTAGACACGTCTCAATTTTTTAATTTATCCTTTTAAGAAAACTTCAAAAAATCTTGGATAAATAGGATATACTAATCTGTGGGATACAACATACAACATGAGATGAGTTCAGATCACTTGATTTTGGAGTTGCTAACTTGATGAGTTTGAGCTAGATGTTGTCTTTTTTAATGATGATGATCAAGAAGTGGAAGAAAGGTTTTAGGTATATTAAAAATGAACAATGGTTTATCGGTTGTTTTGCGACAAAATCCTTACTCTAAAGTGGTGTCTTTTATTTTTTGTGAGGACCATCATCATCATCATCATCAAGAAATATTGACTCTCAATTTAAGTATTTTTGGTGTTCATATTTTATTTAATTTTTATATAATATATAGTGCCGTATCCTCTAGTCCTATATATTGGACATTCTCCTGTGCTTCACAGCTGTTTTATAATGTTGGATTATGTTTTTCATCATCTACAAAGACATTCCTTACTTTT